TTCGCACTCCCTTTCAGCCCTTACTACCTCAGTCTCTTGCTACCCTCTACCTCTGCACTATCCACTGCCCCGCTGTTCTCCATAACCTACTAATCATCCCTCTTCCTTTAACCACCTGATACCCTCGCTTCCTTCCTGCCCTGGAGCGCTGTATAGCCCTTGTGGTTTAGTGCTTCTTTTTGATTATAATGTGCCCAAGAGAGATTATTACGTAGTGATTTGAATGTGTACCTGCACGCTAGCACAGTGTGTAAGTATATTTAGGTTCAGGTACACATAAGCATAATTATCAGAGTACAGTAAGGCCCCGCTTTATGGCGTTTCACCTTACGGCGTTCCGCTAATACGGCGATGTCAAATTATGACCAAAATTTGCTATACGGCAAGCGGTCTTTTAAATACGGCGCCCCCACCCAGTTTGTTTACATTTTCCGTGACCACATCCATTATGTCAGGAAACTTTCTAAAATTTCAAGTGTTTTAAAGTTACTGCATATTTTATATGTACTCTGATAATTATACTTATGTGTACCTGTACTTAAATATACTTACACACTGTGCTGGTGTGCAGGTACACATTAAAATCGCTAAGTCTCTCTCTACTCATGACGCCAATACTACTACGTAATAATAATCACTCTTGGGCACACTAAATGTCTTATTTTACATCAATATAGGCATTTTCATTAATCCATATATGATATTTTCCTCAAAATTATATATGAAACCCATTACATAGCATATAAACATGATACATACACTCAGAATAAAAATTGATGTAAATATGAGATTTGTTTACCAAGCAGCTGTGTTGGTGGTGTCGAAAGAATTACGTTTTCTCTAGTCAAACACTGGGGGGTAACTGTAGAAAAATATTCTTTTCGTATGCCTTTATGTATAGCAATTCGCAACCCTTGTGGGTTTAGTGCTTTTTATAATTAATAATAATTATTATTAATAATAATAATAATAATAATTATATATTATTATTAATATTAATAATATTAATTATTATTCCCTTCTTTAAATATTAATAAAAATAATAAATTTTATTTTAAATTTAGTAATAATAAAATGGGGTTACTGCCTTGTTATCTGCATAATTTGTCACCCCTTTACAACAATGGTAAGGAAAAATTTTATTTGGGGAAAGGTCAAGCGAAATATATTAAAATAAAAAAACCGAAGGGTTAAATGCTTTACAAATCTTATAATGGGCCTAATGAATAAAAGTAGCAACACATAAATCGCATTTTTAGCCGACCAAAGACACCGTCCACTCATGTTCAGCTTTGTTTTTCCCTTTGCATTGTCTCCTCGGTTGCTGTTTCCACCTCTATCGTTTAATATTATTAATTAACTATTGCTCTATTACACTCTAAAAGGTTAGCTGTAATAAAAAGTAATTCAATAACCTTCTTACCTTTGTACCAAGTAGAGATTGTATGTGTCAGTTTATTATTAAAATAAAATATTAAATTAATTTAATATTAAGGAATGAACTAAAAGTAGACACACATTAAAACGCATTTCGCCTGACCATATCGTCCACTTACCTTTCTGTTCTTACGTTGTCTCAACACTGTACTCGTTCTCTCTCGTTTACTTTGTTAACTAGTTGGCTCCATGACGATGGCGTCTAAGTTAGCTGTAATAACAAGAGAGCATAAGCCTCTACTTTAATGCAAGTTAGAGGATAGGTGCCATTTGATTTTATTCAATAAACACCCTGCCACTCACCTCTCACACATTAATATTAATATTTTAAGGTAAGTAATAATTGTATCTGTTGTATCTACCTTATTATTGTGTTTTAATGCCTATTTTTATTGCTACTTATATAGTTAGTGTAACCTGTTGTCTGGCATTTATCATTTTATATCTCTGATAATAATACTTGTGAAGCTGTGTGGTAGCCGGTGAGGGACAACATATTTTCTCTGTTACAGCCATCAAGAAAACGTATTGAATCTGCTTGGCCCAGTACCCCCACTCTGCTTTTGTTTACAATTTTCGCATGATTATTCATTACTCTACCTTGTTTATGATGGCCCTGAAGTGTATTAAAATTTTAAATTCAGTTAACAAGGAATGTCGATTTAATAAGTATCTGGGTCAAGTGTAGGTAGCCAGTAGGTGTAGCCAGTGGCTTCTACCGGTACCTACACTGACTTTATACAAATAAATACTACTCACCCTCTTCGTATTAGACTCAATATTTTAGGTAAATTAATGAGAACTGTATGTGCAGTTTACCTCTGGGATGTTTTAAATACATATCGTATATTAAGTATGAGATGGGGAGCCAGTGCTACCTACACCTGGGCTACCTGCACCTGACTTCCTACAAATAAGTACTACTCACCTCTCTCCCTACATTAAGATTACAAATACTTTAAGATAAGTAATGAATTTACTGTGACTGTATTTTACTTTATGTGTTTTTAACCCTTTGAGGGTTTTGGTCGTACTAGTACGTCTTACGTGTAGGGGTTTTTGACGTACTAGTACTCATAAATTCTAGCGGCCTCAAATCTAGTGGGAGAAAGCTGGTAGGCCTTCATATGAAAGAATGGGTCTATGTGGTCAGTGTGCACAGTCTAAAAAAAATCCTGCAGCACACAGTGCATAATGAGAAAAAAAAAACTTTGACCATTTTTTTTAATAAATCAGCGACTTTGCAGTGTATTTTCGTATGGTATTTATTGTTGTATTCTAGTTTTCTTGGTCTCATTTTATAGAATGGAAGACATATTACAGAAATTGAGATGATTTTGACTGGTTTTACAATGAAAGGTGCCTTGAAATTGAGCTCAAAGTAGCAGAAATGTTCGATTTTTACCAAACTTCAAAAGAAAAACAAATCGTGCCAAGCGTCCAATACACGTCAACTGGTGAGTCTAATATTCTTTCACAAGTGCACCAATAATATTTATACCATTTTTTACACTAATGCAGTAGTCTGCATAACAGTAAATCTTATATTTTTTGTGAAAATAAAAATTCAAAGTGGAAAGCAAAAGAATATAAAGGGGCCTTGAGACGTGACTAATGACTAGAGGAAATGTCATTTTAGTGCCAGGAATGTCTTTCTTGTTTATTCTGGACCCTATTCGGAAATTGGCATCTTTTGAAATTTGTGTGAAATTGGCAAAATTGCTAAATTCTGACCACTGTACTGGATAGTTGAATTTCATAAATGGGTGGTTTCTTGCACCCATTCGATAGAAAAAAATGGAGTTCTAGCGAAATATTCATGTTTTTGTCGACTAGTACAGTGAAATTGGCCGAAAATGGGGCTCAAAGTGGGCAAAATCGCCAATGCGTAAACATCGCCGAGACCGCTAACTTTGCGAGAGCATAATTCCATAAGTTTTCTATCAAATTTCAAACTTTTGGTGTCTTTGTGATCGGGAAAAGATTCTCTATCTTTTCATAAGAGAAAATAATTTTTTTTTTTTTAAATTTGGCCGACCCTGAGAACGAGTTTCGGAGAGGGCCTGTCGACCCTCAAAGGGTTAATACCTAGTTCTATTACTAACTTAATATAATTTAGTGTAAACTTGTTGTCTGGCATTTATATGCATTTATAAATGGAAAAAATGGAGTTCTGCCTTCCGGAGATGTCTGCTTTCCGGCGACAGCCTGGAACCTAACCTGCCGTATAAGTGGGGCCCTACTGTACATATAAAATATGCAATAACTATAAAGCACTTGAAATTTGGAGAGTTTCTAGATATAATAGATGTGCTCACGGAGAAAGTAAACAAACCGGGTGGGGTGCGCCGTATTTGAAAGACCGCTTGCTGTATAGCAAATTTTGGTCATACAGTGGAACCTCAAATTTCGAACTGCTCCCAACTCAACCAATCATGTATTTTTGTAAGTGCTTTTATAGTGTATTTTTGAGGGTCTGAAATGGACTAATCTAATTTACATTATTCCTGATGGGAATAAATTCCTTCAGTAATGGCACTCGAACAGACTTCCGAAACAAAGAAAGTTCGAAATTTAAGGTTCCACTGTAATTTGAAATCGCCGTATTAGCAGAATGCCGTAAGGCAAAACGCCGTAAAGTGGGGCCCTACTGTATTACATATAGGCGTGGCATCTGAGTGAGCTACCATACCTACCACCTGACTTCCTACAATAAATACTACTCGCCTCTCACCTTATATGAAGACTACACACATTTTTGGGTAAGTAATTAACATATTGGGGGAGGGGTTTGGGATATTGGCAGTTTGGAGGGATATGTTGTGTATCTTTATATGTGTATGCTTCTAGACTGTTGTATTCTGAGCACCTCTGCAAAAACAGTGATAATGTGTGAGTGTGGTGGAAGTGTTGAATGATGATGAAAGTATTTTCTTTTTGGGGATTTTCTTTCTTTTTTGGGTCACCCTGCCTCGGTGGGAGACGGCCAACTTGTTGAAAAAAAAAAAGTGTATTTTACTTTTTTATTGTTTTATAGAGCCTAGTTCTATTGCTAACTTAATATATGTTAGTGTAGACTTGTTATCTGGCATTTATATGTATTTATAAGTGGAAAAAAGGGCATTCCACTTTATGGTGATTTCTGTTTTAGGGCAGTAGCCTGGAACCTAACCTGCTGTGTAAGTGGGGCCCCACTGTACTCTGAAGGAGGGGTAGGGATTTTGCAGTTTAGAGGGTCATTTTAATTTGTATCTCCTCACACTTCTGAAAAGACAGATATTGAATAAATGATGATTTTTTTTATTACCCTAGTTTAGTGGAAGATGGCTGATGAGGTAAAAAAAAAATTACATGCCTGTACATCCAAACTGGGAGGAAGGGGCTAGTAACCTCTTCTCTTGTATAAATTACTGAATTTAAAAAGAAAAATGTTTGCTTTTCTTTTTAGGTTACCCTGCCTCAGTGGGATACCGCTGGTTCATTGAAAAAAAAACAAATTGTTTATTGTTGAATATATCTACAATCACACTAAAAATTTATCATTTATTCTTGTCCTTTTTCAGGCTGTTGATGTTGTCGGGTCTAAATTTGTTGGCCGTATGTGCCTGGAGACGTGCTGCTCTGAGTGTGAGCAAGTAACTGGGCGTGAAGAAAATTTCCTTGAAGTGTGTGTTCCAGTTAAAACAAAAGCAGACTTTGATGGTTAGTTTTAAGTTTTTAATGATATAATTTTATGATGGTTTTTGAGTTGTAAGATTATAAATGTACTCTAAGGAGATGGTCAGTTATAGGTCTCGGTCACCTAAGGAATCATTATTGTGGGAAAACTAAAGGGGCTATCAGCTTATGTAATAAGGGTGATTTAAACTCATAAGTGGTAGCTCTGTCACCTACTAGCAGTCATACCATGAATAGGTTAAAAAAAGAAATATGAATGTTAGAACTGGTAAATCTTCTTCCTTTATTTGGCTTAGGCAATCATAGATCCAGCATCCAGGAAACAATTTAAATGTGCTTTTGAAAATAAAACTAAAATCTTTATTTTTTCAACACGCCGGTCGTCTCCCACTGAGGCAGGGTGATCTAAAAAGAAAGAAAATCCCAAAAAGAAAACGCTTATACATATTATTATTCAACACTTTCACCTCACTCATACGTAATCACTGTCTTTGCAGAGGTGCTCAGATACGACAGTTCAGAAGTCCCTCCAAACTGCCAATATCCCAAACCCATCCTTTAAAGTGCTGACATTGTACTTCCCATTTCCAGGACTCAAGTTCAGTTAACCAGTTTCCCTGAATCCCTTCACAAAATATTACCCTGCTCGCACTCTAACAGCTCGTCAGGTTCCAAAAACCACTTGTTTCCATTCACTCCTATCTAACACGCTCACACATGCTTGCTGAAAGTCCAAGCCCCTCGCCCACAAAACCTCCTTTACCCCCTCCCTCCAACCTTTTTGAGGACGACCCCTACCCCACTTTACTTCCCTTACAGATTTATATGCTCTCCAAATCATTCTACTTTGACCCATTCTCTTTAAATGACCAAACAACCTTAACAACCCCTCTTGAGCCCTTTGACTAATACTTTTAGTAACTCCAAACCACCACCTAATTTCCACACACCGAATTCTCTGCATAATATTTACACCACACATTGCCCTTAGACAGGACATCTCCACTGCCTCTATCTGCCTCCTTGCTGTAGGATTTGCAACCCAAGCTTCACACCCATATAATAGTGTTGGTACCACTATACAGTGGACCCCCGCATACCGTTGGCATCACATAACATTTAATCCGCATACCGCTCGCTTTTATTGCAAAAATTTTGCCTCGCATACCGCTCAAAAACCCGCTCACCGCTGTTTGTCCGAGACGCGTCCAATGTGCGGCCTGAGCCACGCTCACATGTTCCGCCGGTGGCATTGTTTACCAGCCAGCCTCCGCGGTAACATCCAAGCATACAATCGGAACATTTCGTATTATTACAGTGTTTTTGGTGATTTTATCTGCAAAATAAGTGACCATGGGCCCCAAGAAAGCTTCTAGTGCCAACCCTACAGCAATAAGGGTGAGAATTACTATAGAGATGAAGAAAAAGATCATTGATAAGTATGAAAGTGGAGTGCGTGTCTCCGAGCTGGCCAGGTTGTATAATAAACCCCAATCATCCATCGCTACTATTGGTGGTACAGCTGCTGCTGCTGCTGTAGCACCGTCAGCTGCTGCTGCTGCTGTAGTACCATCTGCTGCTGCTGTAGCATCGTCTGCTGCTGCTGTAGCATCGTCTGCTGCTGCTGTAGCATCGTCTGCTGCTGCTGTAGCACTGTCAGCTGCTGCTGCTGTTGTACCACCGTCAGCTGCTGCTGCTGCTGCTGCTGTAGTACCGTCTGCTGCTGCTGAAGCATCGTCTGCTGCTGTAGCATCGTCTGCTGCTGCTGTAGCACTGTCAGCTGCTGCTGCTGTTGTACCACCGTCAGCTGCTGCTGTAGTACCGTCTGCTGCTGCTGTAGTACCGTCTGCTGCTGCTGTAGCATCGTCTGCTGCTGCTGTAGCACTGTCAGCTGCTGCTGCTGTTGTACCACCGTCAGCTGCTGCTGCTGTAGTACCGTCTGCTGCTGCTGTAGCATCATCTGCTGCTGCTGTAGCACTGTCAGCTGCTGCTGCTGTTGTACCACCGTCAGCTGCTGCTGCTGTAGTACCGTCTGCTGCTGCTGTAGCATCGTCTGCTGCTGCTGTATCACTGTCAGCTGCTGCTGCTGCTGTAGCACCGTTGTTGGTGTGGCTTATTGAGAATACCAAGAAACAATTAACCCCAGAGGATTTGCCACCCAGGATAACCCAAAAAAGTCAGTGTCATCGAAGACTGTCTAACTTATTTCCATTGGGGTCCTTAATCTTGTCTCCCAGGATGCAACCCACACCAGTCGACTAACACCCAGGTGAACAGGGAAAAATGCCTGGAACTAGTGCTCATATTGGTGAATTTAAAGCCAGCAAAGGTTGGTTTGAGAGATTTAAGAATCGTAGTGGCATACACAGTGTGATAAGGCCTGTTCTGGAAGAAAATGCCAAACAGGACCTACAGTACTCAGGAGGAAAAGGCACTCCCAGGACAGTGTCTCATCAGTCATTGCTGCATCTTCAATAAAGGTAAGTGTCATTTATTCTTCATTTAGTAGAGTAGTACATGCACAATATATATTGTGCATGTACTACTCTACTATTGTGCATGTATCCTTCTCTTTGTGTGTAGGAAAATGTATATTTCATGTGGTAAAATTTTTTTTTTCATACTTTTGGGTGTCTTGCACGGATTAATTTGATTTCCATTATTTCTTATGGGGAAAATTCATTCGCATACCGAACATTTCGCATAACAATCAGCCCTCTTGCACGGATTAAAGTCGCTATGCGGGGGTCCACTGTACTTGGTGAACATGGGTACTAGCTGTAAAGAGCCTTGTTCATACCAGCACATTTACTACAATATTTTTGGAAAGCCCCTTGTTATGCAAAGTATTTCAGCCAGACTAAAAGTAGTACTTATCACTACTTAATGCTAGTACAGGCATGGAAATAATGAATATTCAATGACATATACAATTTCTGTGTTTACCCAGTAAGTACAGTACACCAGTTACAATTAGAGTGGTGAGGTAGCATTTATGAAGCTAGAGATAATAGAGGCAGGGTCACCCAAAAAAGAGAAACACTTTCGCCATCATTCACACAATATCACTGTCTTTGCAGAGGCGCACGGATACAGCAGTTTAGATGTCACTCCAAACAGCCAATATCAGATTATATTAAATTAATAGACTTTTACATCAAATTGATAATGTCTTTGAAACTATATTAGGTAATAAGAGTTTTTAATTCTTAAGGCAGTTTGTTTCAAATTTTGAGTTTCTTGTGTTGCCAAAGTGTTTACTCAGACTGAGCCATAAACATGGAATATCAGAGATATTTATTTCTAGTGTTATGTGTGTTACAATGCTCCCTGGCTTCAAGCACAGACAGTTTCTCAAACCATTTCTTGGTAAAATCTTGTGCATGCCATGCCATCTCGTTAAAACTATAACTGGTAACATTTTGATACTTGAGTGTAAATGGATGTGCATTGTTTTCTCACTAATAGGTGGTTTCCACTTGTGTGCCAGCTGCTTTTGTATCTGTTGACAGCAAATCCTTAATATATTGGACTAATAGGGAGGATTATCAGTGTTAAATCAAGAGTAATGTTAAAAACAAAAAAATCAATTAGATATTCTACAGTATACCTAACATAGTACATATTATACCCTCAGTTTAGATATGTTTACCTGGAGAGAGTTCTGGGGGTCAACGCCCCCGCGGCCTGGTCTGTGACCAGGCCTCCTGGTGGATCAGAGCCTGATCAACCAGGCTGTTGCTGCTGGCTGCATGCAAACCAACGTACGAGCCACAGCCCGGCTGATCAGGAACTGACTTTAGGTGCTTGTTCCAGTGCCAGCTTGAAGACTGCCAGGGGTCTGTTGGTAATCCCCCTTATGTGTGCTGGGAGGCAGTTGAACAGTCTCGGGCCCCTGACACTTATTGTATGGTCTCTTAACGTGCTAGTGACACCCCTGCTTTTCATTGGGGGGAGGGTTTCATCGTCTGCCAAGTCTTCTGCTTTCGGTAGTGAGTGATTTTCGTGTGCAAGTTCGGTACTAGTCCCTCTAGGATTTTCCCGGTGTATATAATCATGTATCTCTCCCTCCTGCGTTTCCAGGGAATACAGGTTTTGGAACCTCAAGCGCTCCCAGTAAATTGGGTATTTTATCTCCGTTATTTCGCGCCGTGAAAGTTCTCTGTACATTTTCTAGGGCGGCAATTTCACCTGCCTTGAAAGGTGCTGTTAGTGTGCAGCAATTTCCAGCCCAGATAGAACAAGTGACCTGAAGAGTGTCTCATGGGCTTGGCCTCCCTAGTTTTGAAGGTTCTCATTATCCATCCTGTCATTTTTCTAGCAGATGCGATTGATACAATGTTATGGTCCTTGAAGGTGAGATCCTCCGACATAATCACTCCCAGGTCTTTGACGTTGGTGTTTCGCTCTATTTTTTGGCCAGAATTTGTTTTGTACTCTGATGAAGATTTAATTTCCTCATGTTTACCATATCTGAGTAATTGAAATTTCTCATTGTTGAACTTCATATTGTTTTCTGCAGCCCACTGAAAGATTTGGTTGATGTCCGCCTGGAGCCTTGCAGTGTCTGCAATGGAAGACACTGTCATGCAGATTCGGGTGTCATCTGCAAAGGAAGACACGGTGCTGTGGCTGACATCCTTGTCTATGTCGGATATGAGGATGAGGAACAAGATGGGAGCGAGTACTGTGCCTTGTGGAACAGAGCTTTTCACCGTAGCTGCCTCGGACTTTACTCTGTTGATGACTACTCAATGTGTTCTGTTAGTGAGGAAATTATAGATCCATCGACCGACTTTTCCTGTTATTCCTTTAGCACGCATTTTGTGCGCTATTACGCCATGGTCACACTTGTCGAAGGCTTTTGCAAAGTCTGTATATATTACATCTGCATTCTTTTTGTCTTCTAGTGCATTTAGGACCTTGTCGTAGTGATCCAATAGTTGAGACAGACAGGAGCGACCTGTTCTAAACCCATGTTGCCCTGGGTTGTGTAACTGATGGGTTTCTAGATGGGTGGTGAT